AATCCTTCACAACGACCATAACAACATCTATAAATATTCATACATGGAGCAAAAATCTCGCCAACGCTATTATATCACCTCCCTCTGTTCTAAGATTTATGCGAAATTAACAGGTAGGAGACCAAAATATAAGGTTAAAGATATATTATGGGTGCCTAGATAAAGAGCTGGTAGTTCTCACTATAATAGTTAAAAACTAGATAATGTAAATGGAGTTGGCTGAAAATATCAGTCAAATTGATCCACCCGGAACCGAGTATTTAACGATTGACTTTTGGGCCTAACCTCGATCAGCATTACTAAAGTCGGTAGGATAAAAAAAACATAAGTTAATTAATGTCTAATTAAGAATTTAGATAACATTTCAGGTCTAAAGAAAGACCTGTAATAGGCAGATTTAGCTCTTGCATAATGTATGTTTAATGTTTCAGACGCGTTTTATTTCACGTTACATAGTTCATATTGTGAGACGTTACTAAACATTACAGATGCACTATGTAAGATTTAGTTAAAGAGCTAATCGTTCTTGCTATAATAGTTCGAAAATAGATAATAAATAATTTGAAAATTTCATTCAAATTACCCGATTGCGAGCGACGATATTGGCCCTTGAAGGTTTTGCAAGACGGGTCCAATAATTTCAACCACCGTACTGGTTGTTCGAAGCTAAGTCTCGCTCCTCCATGTTTAAATTAAATCACAATATGGTTGAACTGTTCTAATCTATTTAATATCGGAGAAATCCGATGCCATCGAGGGTTGATTATGGCCTGGATAAGTTAATTAATGCCTAATAAATAATTTAGCACACATTTCAGGTCTAAAGAAAGACTCGCAATTGGTAGATTTATCTCTTGCATAATATATGTTTAATTGATGTGGTTTTATTGATGTTTACTTTTGCAACGCTCAGATTAGTTGTTTCAAGAACGTGAAATGAACCATCTGATACAACTAGGTCGTGGACTGGAGAAGACTATATAGCTCAGATCTTTTCTCTCGCTAAATCGCCTGGTGATGCCTTTGTATGTTTCTTTAAACTCTATAGCTACAGCAAAAGTAATGTTATCAAAGCAGTCAGCGTGTATAATATTTACAAAATTATCTGAATAAGAATTATATTTTTCTCACCATAACACAAACGTGCTGTGCGGTTAAGTAATTAGTGAGGTTCCTCAGGCAGTACGAACTTCGAACTACGAAGTGTTTTTGTGCTGACGTCATCACTCCGTGTGTTGTCATTGACATAAGCGGCGTTCGATTCGTCAATTTTCTACGCAGAAATCGGGAAAATTTTGTGGTTAAAAAAAAAAGGTACGAAATCGTGATTTTCTCGCTGATTTGTGGATGAAATTCGTATTTTTGCGGTTTTATAGAAAGCTTTATCATTTACAATTCGATAGAAGTGATCAGCGTCAAAGTGATCGGCAATTGTTCTCATTTTGGGCAAAGTTTTGGGCTTTGAATTTTTTTTTTTCGACAATCAGCGATGAGATCGAATCATCTCGAGTATGATAAAAACACATTGCAATGAGCTTCTTGAGGACTAAAATTTGATTTGATATTTTTCACTTAACCAAACTAAACAGTGGTATTCCTTGTTTTGGCGAAAATGGAAATCTGTCAAAAACGAAGCACGAAGCAGTGTTCGTAGTTCGTAGTTCGTACTGGTTGCAGAACCTCTTTAATGACTAATGAAAATCGTTGGATAAGTCACGTGATCATTATTTATACTGCATTGTGTTAAGTCATAATAAAATGCAAATTCAATACAATGTACAATTTTAAATCAATAGATTTACAAATGAACTATGAGTTATAAAGGATATGGGGGGGAGGGAGGTGGGAGATAACTCACGTGGCCGTGCAGAGACACTGTTTGTACATCGCGTTATACGTTGAATTATAGGAGGCGACACAGGTTCCATGATGGACGGGCAGAGTTGCCGAATTGTTATTAGATGTAAAATAGTTAGCATTATTTAGCTAATTATTCGCTCTTTTGATTTAGCTCTTAAGGCTTACATATGCAATATACGCCCATACATGAAAAATAAATATGATTTAGCGCGCATATTATTATTTAAGTGAAGCTAACACTTTTAGGCTCAAACTGAACATGGACTAACAAATATAAAATGTGAACCATATGTTACCATGGTTAATAAGCAATGATAAAATAACGTACACAAACGGTTTACGAATATTTACACTTGAAATTAAAACAGAACCATGACTACTGTCAAATATGTATTATTAGCATATGCTTAAATAAGTCTATAATTAAAACTTATCGAAACTTATAAACATTTAAAAAACATAATGCAAGGGAAATTACATATATAAAAGAAATCAATGTTTGACTAAGTAAAATTTCATGGGGAATAAAATCATGTAAGAATGTAAATAACATTCTAGCTGATGAGGACAAGCACACACATTAAAATGACTCACCTTGAATAAAAACAGCAGACAGTTCAAGTTACAATAATGTATTGTGAAGAAGTTTTTGTGTGTGTGTGAAATATCACCAAGGTGATATCACAGACTATTACATCTTAGGCTATATATTAAGAAATGGAATATTTACAAAGTGATTACCGAAAAGGTGAACATATAAGTTAAATAAGGGGATCCCCCTTAGTGCACATATAGATGTTTGTGGTGGTTGCAAATTTAGCGTTTTTCCGATGTACAAGCTTAATAGCAATAATAATGATTTATTAGAAGCCAAAGAGGCATATTTTATTGAGAAATATCGGCCAGCTTTAAATGCAAAATTGTAGTAATTTCATTGTATATAGGCCTAGTTATTGTTGTCTGATTTGATATTAAAGTTATGTTCCCTCTGTGTTACTATGACGCTATGACGTCATAATCATTATTGTATTACCAAAATGTTGATTATCTGAAGAGCTTAATAAAATAAGCGAAAGTGCTAGTAATCGACAAATAATGTAGTTCTTTTTTCAAAAACTTTTATATTTTTGTGTATCTAATACCTAAGAGTAGTTATCTTCAACTTTTCATATATATATATATAAAAATATATATATATATATACATATACATACAGAACAAAAGGTGAACATATAAGTTAAATATTTATATATAAGTACATACAGAACAAAAGGTGAACAGATAGGTTAAATATTTATATATAAGTACATACAGTACAAAAGATAAACATATAAGTTACATATTTATATATAAGTACATACAGAACAACAGACAAGTTAAATATTTATATATAAGTACATACAGAACAACAGACAAGTTAAATATTTATATATAAGTACATACAGAACAACAGACAAGTTAAATATTTATATATATATATGTACATACAGAACAAAAGGTGAACAGACAAGTTAACTATTTTACTCTTAAAAAAAGTAGGGGATATTCAGAAACAATACAAAACTGCGGAAATGCACGGCTGTTTTTATTAGAGGTAACCAGTGTATGTTAATAACAGGTCAATTGCCTACACATGAACATAAACAGTTCATATGGGCGGCTTATCGTCCGGCCCCATTTCACTCGCAAAGTGAAAATAGACGTTTTTGTTTTTTGTCTTAATAATGAGTAATTGCTCCACCAATCTTCAGACATTCAGCAATTCTCCGCGGTATGCTGCTCCTAATCAACCATCCAATCACGATTTGGAGCAATTTGACCAACTCCTCTTGCAGTGCCACGGCCAATTCTTGCAGTGTTGTCGGTTGACGTTGACGATCAAATTAAACGTAACACACTAAAGCAAAGTTACGGTAAACAGTAAATCTTATGCAAGAACCGATAGGAAAGCAAACATGGATAGGATAAACCAGCAAGCGGCAGTTTTCATCAACCCTTCCTTGAAATGTCAAGTTTGACAATGAACCCCTTCCACGTGTATGGCGCTATTGCGTGTCGCATGTGCAGCTCAGTGGTTCTGTTGGGGCGATAAGTTCTTCATCTGTGAACATACTCTCAAAGCATGCCAAGTGTCCATGACGACTATTTATCATATTACAACCTGCACAGGTATTTTCATTTCAATATCCCCTACTTTTTTGAAGAGTATCTATATGTACATAAAGAACAAATGAAAACGATGCACGATGTACATTTAACAGACAAGCCCATGTATACATTCATGCATGGACCTTATAATAGAAGTTTGGTCTTATATTCGTATTTAAAGACAGGTTAGGGATTAACTGATTGAACGCACCTGATTGGTCACATGGGGTTTAAACCTGAAACGATCTGTGTGCTTAGGGACTTATTGACATATAGTGTTTTAGTAAATCTTTTAGTTCTGTTTCAATGCAGAAATACAATATCGGTTGACAGAACTCCCCCAAAATGGTAGCCTAATTTAATCAATAAGGGTAATTAATTTATTTAAAACATTGAGTGACTACCAGTAATTTACACCTCTATAATACCTTATATTCTAAAGCGCACTCGATCCTCGTATTAAAATTGAACGACGGGTTAAATTGTGGGAGAAGCTCATAATAATATAATGTCTAGACCTTTTTTAAAAAAAGAAAAATACCAACAACATTTAGATTGTTTTATTGAGACTACTCTTATAGTTTTGAGCTATGGCCCAATTGCAATCTGATTAAAATACAGATCTATATTTCATTTCGTTTTTTTTATACTTTTGATGGCCTACACAACATGAAGATCTGGCTGGTTGTGGCGATAGGTCACGTCTGGGGTCAAACCAACCAGCGTTGATGTTACTAGTGGATTACCCACAGTTCCGTGCAAAACACGCCTAAAGCTCGTCGTTACAGACCGTTTCGTTGGCTGATACCTCACACCATTCAGAACACATCAATGATAACAACTCTTACAGATCCCAGTCTAGTAAAGACAAGTAAAAACGAAATTTTGAGCTATAAAAACGAAACGAAATAGGATCTGTGTTTTAATGAGATAGGCCCAATTGAATTTAGAAAAAAAAGACAACGAGAAATTAATTATGGCGTTCTATCTGCACCCTGACCCACGCACACCTTCATATCTCTGTACCCGTCACTTCTACTTCACAGAGCACTAAATATTCGGTAGGTTTTGTAATCCGAACCCATCGACCAATAGCTACTCCATCACATTCAAAGGTTCTGATTGTACAACCAAATACCCCGGGTATAAATTTACACAAGGTAAATTCTGTTAATACTGATGGCGTGCTGTTATAGACTAAGATACTCGTGTCTGACAATCGGTGTCCAACGGCTGAAAATAGAAGTAGATTATTTCAAAAACAAAAGTAGATGGTCATTCATAAGTGTTTAATATAATTCGACTTCTTTGATATTGAGGTCGATTGAATTAAATTTAATCTGTTGCTTCGTCTTGTTGGGTGGGTTTCTGTCTATATTTATAATTTTAGAGCCAGTTCTGTCATATTTTCATAGATGACTTGATCCAATCTGGGGGGGGGGGGGAGATTGCCTAATGGTTAGCCCGTGTGCGTTATGTCATAAGGTCTGTCATTGACTCAGATGGTGTGGTTTCGATTCGCCGACTTTACGTGACAAGAAGTAAGGTCGCCTGTTCAACCTCGTGGGTTTTCTCCGGGTCTTCCGGATTCCTCCCACTGCTAAAGACCCCTACGCGGAAACGAATTATTGAAATAAAATTGAACCATATTTTAGTCCCGAAATAACCTAGTTTGTGTCGAGTGGACGTTAAACCCCATTTACCCCTCTCTCTCGTGATCCAATCCACACGTCCTGTCGACCCAATTGAATGCTCTATTTTGCTAGAGATGAAATATACATCTGGTAATGAGTTTTCTACCTCATTGAAAATCGTCGATTAAAAGAATAAATCCATTAGTTGCCCATTGAAGGCGCACATTGTGATCAAATACAGGGGCTTAAATAGGAGGGTATGTGCGTATGCGTGTGTGGGTAGTGGAAGGGGGAGGGGGAGGGGGGTACATCGGTCTCAAAATAAGTAGACACTGCAGTCGGTCTCAAAATTAGGAAATGAAATGAAATGGGGTTTAACGTCTACTTTTCTGCTCCTAAACTGGGCCAAACAGGACGGGCATACACCATACGGTGTGCTATGAAGGAAATTTTGCCCGGGCAGCGGCGCTACGACCTACTCTTATATCGAATTCCAACCGGCGAGGGGTCTTTTACGTGCACGCCAATATGTAAAGGGACCTCCGTTTTTCCTCCCATCCGAACGACTAGACAGCTGTCCTTGTCAGACCCTCCGTCCTGCATAACTGAGAAGGGGAAACCGCGTCGGAAAATCTGGATGAACTTTATCAACCAATGCAGGGATCGAACACCCGACATCCATACTAGCGACCCAGCGTCTTACCCACTTAGCCACCGTGATCCCCTCAAAATTATACATCGGCGACTAAATGAATAAATGAGGTAAACAAGCAATGCCAAAATAGAGGAGAAAAAAGCAAAATGAATATATAGAGGATATTAAAAATTTGTCGTTTTAGAGTGAATAACATATTTTATTTCATCGAGAAGCAAGAAAACTTATATTTTCACTCATGCTACGCATTCGTGAAAATATAAACGTTTTCTTGCTTAGAGATGAAATAAAATATGTTATTCACGACAAAACGACAAATGTTCTATTTATTTTATGATTTTACAATCAATTTAAGGTAAAAACAACATGGACTACTGCTAGCCAGTGGAATAACACTTTTATTTCACTGATAAAACGCGGTATTCCACTACTGATAATAAAATAAATCTGTGTATACGTATGATTGTTTTGATTGGACATCTCCATACGTGCCAGTTTTTTTTTAAAGCTCAAATTAGTCAAAACTGTTATACGTTCAGTAATGAAACAGGGGGCCTCATGACGTTTGCGTGTGAACGTGATCGACAGACGCGATCGATCTTGACAAAATAGCCAAACACATGCTGCCAACTCTTGAATTATTCCAAGAAAACTGGATTTTGGCATTGCTTGTTTATCATTAATTTGGTTGCGCAGAAAAAATGAGCTTGGCCTGGGAGTGTTACTCAGATTCTTTCCAAGCGTCTTAACATAAAGAAAAGAAAATCCAAAGTTTTGCTGTAAAAGAGAAATGGATACAACCCCCCCCCCCCCCCGCTGAGCCAGAACTATAATATTTACCTGGCTTATCGTCGAATCTGTTAGCAATGGTAACACTGGTAATGTTATATGTAGATTGTAAATCAACTTGCCACCAGGGATTAAGGTCATTGGCATCAGTATGCTGGCAGTAGTTAACAATAGTTGGTATATGACCGTCATTAGCAAACCCAGCGACATGTTCTCCGAACTGTGAACTATGCATAGATGGTTTATTAAGAGCAACGTTAGGTCCATCTTAAAAAGAAATGACATTCAGCGTACAAAATATATTTAATATGGGAGATAAAATAAGATATATATAAATATTCACTGACATTCAACGTACAAAATATATTTAATATTGGGGATAAAATAAGGTATATATATATATATATATATATATATATATTACTTTGTCTGTTACTTTTAGCTGACAAATCAAGCATAACAGCGTCGCATTTGTAATGTAGGTCTCAGAAGTGTAATGGCAATAAATAAATTAATACCAAGTTAAAAGTCATATTGTTAGAAATGAAATGTAATGAAATGAAATTGAGTTTAACATCCTACTTTTCTGCTCCGACTTGGCTAATGAAGAAGGGCATACGCCATACAGTGTGCTACGAATACATTTTGCCCAGACAGCGGGATCTTTTACGTGCACGCCAATGTTTACATGTGACCTCAGTGGGGGGCGGGGGGGGGGCTGAAAATGAACTGTGTTCACCCTTTTCGAATGCTTCGAAATCTAATTTGACAAACAATGTCGGAAAAAGGGAAATGAAATGAAATGGGGTTTAACATTCCACTGTTCTGCTCCTAAACTCGGAAAAGGGGACTTGGGGGAAAGTATACCAGAGCATAAACTTTATAACTTCTTTCGGGATATATAAGTACTATCTAATAGTACCCTTGGTTAATATATAAATCAGTATTAAAAATATCGTTTATTGGAAGCGGTTTATAGAGATACAAAACTGTTACCTGTTACCTGTTTATATGGTAATATTGTTCACTGTTACCTGAGATATACATACTATAAAACTGTTATCATGAGGCGAGTTATGTACATAGAATATAATGATATTACCTGGTTGTTGTTTACATCTGATAGACGGGGATCCACAGCTATTAAAATCATTATCTCCCGCTGGAAGAAAAAAATATAATGTGTTAATCTAGTGTGCTATAATAACAAATTCGAACTTAACTGTCATTATGGTGTCGCGGTGATATAAGTATGTATTTTAAGTTTCATCAAAATCGGATAAAAATTGTGACCTCTAGAGGGTCCACAATCTTGGTATTATATACTTTCACACTATTTGCGTACAACGATCGGCCATTTTGTCTGGCAATGTCGGTCCGATTTTCACGAAATTCGAACCCATCCATTGCAAGACTATTGGTGTTACATACTTTTACACGAGGTGCGGCCATTCTGTCAGGCAATGTCGGTCATATTTTCGTGGAATTCAAACTCAACCATTATTAGGGTGTAACTGTGATATATTAGAACAGTTTTTTTTAAAAATCGGATCAAGGGCTGTTCTAAAATATGTAGTAGCGGAGAGAGTATGTGTCACACGTTGGATGTGGGGAGTTTTTGTTTATTTGTAATTACCACATCTGGCCAGAGACTCATGTCACTGCATGTGCTACATATTTAATTTAGTAACTGTGTCGAGATTCGCCCGTCAAAGGAATTTACATATTTGTTTTGGTTGCCGTGACTCAGGATCGATCTTTAAGGGAAAGAAGCAGTCACATCGTTACATAATATATGATTTGGTGGCGTAACTCAGTTTCGACATTTGGAGTAACCAGCAACTGTGCAAGAAGAAAACCCATAGAACCAGTACGCAAAAGAAATCTGGTGGAAAAAATTTGGAGGAAAGGAAATCTGGTGGAGAAAAAGAAATAGTGGAAATATTCGCCAAAATAGGTAAATACATTTTTTTCTGAAAAATTAAACACGTAAAGTTGTTTAACAGATCAAATAATATTAATGTGAGAATAAAATCAGATTAAAAGTTAAATGTTTCAAATTTAACTCTCGGGATTTCTAGATTTGTGCAAAATTTTCAATTCAAATATTTCTTCCTGTCCCCAGCAAGGAGATTTAGGTCCTGAACCCAAAGTGCATCAATGATACTTACACAAAACTCCATAAACTTCAACTTCACAGAGTGTCAGGAAATTCGATTTCTGGATAGAAATTTTCAAGAATCGTCCAGCTACGTTTTCATTACATCGGATTATATTCTTTCCTTTATTGAACTTCACTACAGATGCACAGCAGTTGGGCACAGTTTCGTTGTCAACATCCGGGTTAGTTTGAAATAGTTCATAATTAACATCATGGAGTCTTTCAGCTGTAAATTATTATACATTATCTTAAGTCAATTCATTCTTTGATACCGTGATAGCGCAACGTTAAAGGTTTTATTAATTATCTAGGATTTAATAATAAAAAAAATAATATATAAAAAATATAATAATAAAAGTATGTTATTGAAAATTTAATTAAAATTACTTTCAGTTTCGATTTTTATACTTCAAAATGTCGCTTTACTTGTCTTTACTACACTAGAATTTAGGTGATGTGAGGGGCAAGTCACTAAACGGTCTGTTACGGTGAGTATTTGGCGTGAGGTGCACGGAATTGTACTTAACCCACTAGAAACATCAATGCTGCTTGGTTAATCAAATGTCTGACGTCATAGGGTCAAAAGCCGCTCGTATGACCCTGACGCGACCTCTCACTACTATATATTTGATAACGTGACAACACAACATTAAAGGTTTTATTAATTATCTAGGATTTAAATAAAGGGGTAGCCGTTTTTGTTATGCTATAGTTTATATAAAATAATAAGAAATGACTATATTGAAAATTTCAAAAGCAATCTTTGATAACGCAACGTTTTATTAAAGATACATTAGTTAAGAGTTTAAGAAAGAGTTGGTCATTCTTGCTATAATAATTCAAAAATAGATGATAAAAAAAGAAAATATTGAAAATTTAATTCAAATTACTTCATTCTCAGCCAAGTTTGTAGTTTTGACAAGATGTGTGCACGGTGGTAACAAAGGCTCTGGTATAATCGGGACTTAGCCTCGCTTTCCCAGTTTTAAATGGCTAACCGTTTTAATCTGGTTAAAATCTCGAGTACCCGATGCCATCGAGAGACGATTATGATATGGTTTTGTTAATAAATGTCTAATTAATAGTTTATATAACATTTCAGGTCTAAAGAAAGACATGCAATAGGCACATTTAGCTCATGTATAATGTATGTTTAATTGTGCAGGAGTTAAAAAATAAAGAGCTAGTTTAAAACAAATAATATATGGGGCGCCGTTTGTAAAATAATTATTTAATTTTTTTTTATAGCACAAAACATTAGATTTAACTCCGAATATATATACAGTGGACTCTGTCACATCCGACATCGTGCGGGATCGTTACAATAATTCGGATCACACAGCATTTCGGAATATCGAGTTTTCTCCAAAACCGGAAATACTGTAACTTCGAAAACCGGAAGTATTTTTATAATGTAGCTTCGAATCACCAGAATGCTATTCCCTTTATAAATGATAAACTTTTCTGTACTTTCAAAATTTTATTATATTAAATAATTAACAATAACAATGCATGCGTACAATATATTCATAAAATCGTTTACATGTAATATCAATGCATGCGTACAATATATTTATCAATATCAATGCATGTAATCGTTGAAAGTAGTTTGCTTAGTTAAGATTACCGGAAGCATATCGTAAGGCGGAGTCCTGAGCAACATCTTCTAACAAATGAATTGTTGCGATCATCTTTTCGTCCCTAATCTGTGCGAAGTGTTTAATGTCGTTGAGCATGCGTAGGGATTTTGAATAGGTCAAGTCTGTCGTTAATGTATATTCTTCATCGTCCCCGTCTTCAGTCAATTGTCATTTATAATCTGTCGTTCTATGTCCAGTTTTTCAAGCCAATCAAAGTAAACGGCACCTGTCATCCAAGCTTTGCGATTGGCCGACCAATTGACTGGCAGGTAGATCTTGTCCACTCCCTTAAAACAACTCGGGTTCACTGCTTTACCGATCAAAGTAATCAACACAGTTTTAATCTAACCGATAATTGATTGGTGATTACTTGTTAATCTTTTCTGGCTTCACACCCATTGAGTTTTAATCTCACCGATAATTGGATGCTTCACACCCACCGTTTGAAGTACGGATTATACGGTGTTGATTCAATGGAAATTATGTGACGGGACGGCTGATTGATTTCGGAATCCGGAACATACAGAATTCAGATTTACCAGCTATTTTTTGGCTGAAGTAATAAGGCAATAAATCGGGACATGAAAATCATACCGGATGTCACAGCAATCCGGAGTGATCAGAGATCGGATGTGGCAGAGTCCACTGTATTTAGATAAATATTAGAACAAAAATGGCATATATATAAATATCAAAAAATATTGTAGCTAAAGGTCGAGTTTTTGGTCTATGAAAACCTTTAAATGGTATATCTTGATTTCACATCGCTTAGTTAAATATATAGCTAAATGTGCTGTTTTTCGTAGGTATAAATGCTAAATACTAAATCACTGAAAAATCTAAAGTTAAATATTTAGCTAAATATATAAACATTTAGCTAAATATATAAACATTTAGCTAAATATATAAACATGTAGCTAAATATATAAACATTTAGCTAAATATATAAACATTTAGCTAAATATATAAACATTTAGCTAAATATATAAACATTTAGCTAAATATATAAACATTTAGCTAAATATATAAACATTTAGTTAAATATATAAACATGTAACTAAATATATAAACATTTAACTAAATATATAAACATTTAACTAAATATATAAATATCATGCTAAATATATATGTTTAGCTAAATGTATAAATATTTAACTAGCAATTATAAATGGAAGCTGACCACGAACTTGTAACCCGAATCACGGCACAGATCAAGGCAAGTTGCAGTCAATGGAAAGTTGTAAACTACGTCATCGTTTAGCGTGAAGTCGCTTACAACAATAATTATTTTACAAACGGCGTGGTACGGTTGTGCTTTGTAAATTTAACTATATGTTTAGCTAAATATATAATTATTTAGCTAAATATATAATTATTTAGTTTAATATATATATATAATTATTTAGCTAAATATATAATTATTTAGTTTAATAT